GGGCGGACCGACGCGCGCGTCCACGCGAATTAGTAGTATGATGCTCAGCTCGGCGCCGGCCTGGGCCGGCCTGGCTCGCTCACACTCAGGGTCGTCTTAGTCATTCGACGACGCACAGACGCATCATTAGTAATGTTACGCCCCAGGTGCCACGGTCCAGCCTGACCGGTACTTGTATCCGGCCAGCTCTCATGTGCTTAGTCCTCTCAGTGGAACACTGAGAGACTACGGGTCTCCGGGCCGGGCCCCAGCGGCATATGACCGGGCACCCTCGCTCGTGCTCGCGGCCTCTTAAGCCGCGAGAATTCTTTCTCCGTTCATCAATCCATCGGCTCGCTCTTTGCTGGGATCTGATTCGCTTGCCTGCAGCGCCGGACGTTCCTTCGGCTATTTTCAAGCGATCGCGTCCGGAGGAACCCCAGCAGCACCTCAGTGCCACTCTCTGCGCTTCCAGAGCTTCTTCTACCCGGTGTCTTGGTTGCGTGCGCTGCGAGATGCGAGCATGTGCGCGCTTGGCACTTTGTCGTCAACCCAGGCACTGCCAGCATCTGTCGGCATCTTTCGTCACCAGCTTACGTCATCCGTATGCATCATGTGCCACGTAAGTTGCTGATCAGGCAATCTAGGCATTCGGTGCAGCGTGGGGCGCACAGGCCGCGCAGGCGCTCAGGCCCAACCAAGTAGCTCAGGCGTTGCAAGATTTAGGTACTCGGTGCAGCGCTTGCGCGCTGTAGGCGCGCGGTGCCAACCAGGTCGCTCATTTGACGCTCTAGGGATGCGGTGCAGCACGGGGCGCTCAGGGTCGCCTCGCTCGCTCACGCGTCGCAAGCGTTCGGCCCGGCGGCGGAGGGGGGGGGGGCGCAGGTGTTTTAGGTACTCGGTGCGGCGCTTGCGCGCTGTAGGTGCTGGATGCGGGCCCGGGCCAAACCGCTCATCAGGCGATCTTGGCATTTGGTGCGGCTCGAGGTGCCCATGCTGTGCAGGCGCTCGGGGACGCCCCCCCCCCCCCCAAAATTTGCTCGGGCTGTGCAAGCCTTCGGCACTGCGGGGGCCGCTCCGGTGATCCAGGTACCCGGTGCAGCGCTTGCGCGCTGTATGTAGGTGCTCGGTGCCAACGGGTTGCTATTTTGCGTGCGAAGGATGCGGTGCAGCGCGGGGGGCTCAGAGCCGCCTCGCACGCTCAGGCGTTGCACGCGTTGGGCCCGGCGGCGGGGGGGAGGGGGGCGGGGGCGCAGGAGTTGTATGTAGGTACTCGGTGCGGCGCTTGCGCGCTGTAGGTGCTGGGTGCGGGCCAAACCCAAGTCGCTCAGGCGTTGCAAGCCTTCGGCTTGGCGTGGGCTGCTCAGGTGTTCCGGAGTGATTTTGCAGGCATTCAACCAGGTACCGGGCGCCAAGGCCGGCCAGCCACTAAGCGCAGCGGGGCTGTCCAGGCATTGCGTTCGAGGTGCTTCGCGCACGCGGCACTTGGGTCGCACAGGCGTTAGTGTCAGCTTGGTGGTGTGTAGGCGTCAGCATGTCGAAGGCTAGGTACATAGGCGTTACTGTGTAGGCGCAACTCGTGCGCCTCAAGGTGTCCGCAGAGCACGCTCAGGTGCGCAACTTTAGGCTCGTGCGTACCTACGGTATGCCGCCGACGCACATTTGCAAAGACACGCGAGTGCCGCTGCAGGTGCAGGCGTAGGAAGACGGGCTAAGCTAAGCAAACACTGAGAGCCCCCCGTCGCAGACGCCGTTTTATGGCTTGCCGGGCCTTGCTCACGCTCGGGCTGCCAGCAAGGCGTTGCTGTGCCAGCGCCACACATGGCAGGTGACCAGGCAGCTGGCCGCGACATGCACGCGTGGGAGAGGCTATGTCGTTGGTGGGGTGTCCTTGCGGGTTGTAATAAACAGGCATCTGCAACTTGGCGGTCGTTTTGTGCGGAGCGCTGGCCTGGGAGAGCAAGGCTGCAGAGGGGGTGCGCTTCCCAGCGCGCACAGCACGGGGCTGGCTCTGCCACCCAGCTGCGGGCTGCTCGCAGCAGGCGGCGGGTATATCAGCCGCACAGATGCATCATTAACAATAACATTTTTGCAGGCAGCGCTGCATCTCTCGCCTGGTGTTGCGCGGGCACGCCCGTCTGCCTGCCTGCCTGCAGATCCAATCTGGGAGGCATCGCTCTGCCAGGTCTGCTGGGACCTCGGCGGATACACATTGCCAGAGCGCAATCACAATATCTTGATTGTTTCATTGTCGTGGTGAAGCAGCTCACGCGTGACGACCCAATCCGAAGCTGAGCACCGTCCAGTGCGTCGAGTGCGGTAGCTCAAGCAGTGGCTTCTGAAACGATTGCAATGGCGCAGCAGCTTGGTATGCGGGGGCAGAGGCTGGGCAGCTCGGGGCAGCAGCGGGCTAGATCAAGCCGTCCCGTCTGCCCGGTGCAGAGGCTCCCTTCTCGGACGCACAGCAGCAGCAGCGGGGTGTTTCCCCGGCACGTCTGCCTCGCGAAGCTAGATGAGGTTTCACTGTTTTCCGACAGCAGCTTGCTCGGCCCCAGCAGCGCGTCGACTTCGGCAGCGGCCCAGGCGGCGGCGGGCGGCATCGACGCCGTCGAGCTCAAGAGCAAGGTGCGGCGCGAAGCGCTGCTAGGGCCCAGCGGATCGATCATGACAACCTAGCTCGGCGTGACGCTCGCGCGCGCGCATCGCGCACGCTGCGCGCTTTGCCGCCCCGCGGTCAAGGCGACTCCCGAACACGCCTTGGCGCGTCCGCCCGCGCCCCTGTCGCCGCAGCTGGGCCTGGATTACAGTGTCCTGGCGCAGCACCTGAAGGATGGGGACTTCCGGAAGGTGGGCGGGCGGCGGGACGGCGGGCATGCACGCTGCTGCAACTGCAGAGAGCCAGGCCGGGTGGGGCGGCGGCGGGGCGCGCGAGCGCCGCGGCTGTTTCCCCTCAAGCCCCAAGGCGGGGCGTGTGCAGACATGTCCGACTCACTGCCAGCACCGCTCTGGCCGTTTCTCAGAAGCGTTAGATGCGCATCGTCCATGTTGGGCGCACCCACTGGCGCACACCTCAAAACAGACGCGCACAAGCGCCCCTCCTCGCGCGCTCATCACATCCTCTCGCCTACATGCCATTTGTTTCGCTTGTGCGCTGGCATGCGCCCCTACACGATCGCGCACGCACACACTCTCACACCTGACACCCCCACATGCAATACTGGCCTCTCGCATCCCCTCTCTGTTTCCAACCCCCTGACACACGCACACACGCACAGCACACACACACACACACACATGAGCTATACGCACACCACACGCGCACACACACACACACACACTCTCTCTCTCTCTCACACAACAGGCCGACGACGAGACGCGGGCTCTCCTGATCAAGATGGCGGGGCAGGGCGCGGTGGGCCGCGGGTGGGTGTACTTCACCGAGGTCAAGACCATCCCCGCGGAAGACCTGCAGACGGTGGGTGACGGGGGAGGGGGTGGCAAGTATATAGTGTAGAAGTAGCGTGGCTATCGAGTGGTTGGGGGGGTGCTTGCAGGGTGGGGCGTGAGAATGTGTTGTGTGTGTGAGGGCGCGGGCGGGATGCACCGGGCGGCTCGGAGTTCGATGCAGAGAGTGGGGAGGACGAATGTCGTGGGGGAATGCGTGTGTGAGTGTGAGTATGCCTACATGTCCGAGATAAGGGGGGGACATGTGTGTGCACGCATGCGCTTCATCGCGTTGCTGCTGTGGCTGGTGATGACTTGATGGGTCCCCCAGCCATCACTGCATCCTCGATGCTCTTCCCCCACGGATCTGGGCGCCCATACAGGCTCCACTGCTTGGGTACCCTCTGGCATGCGCACTGACTCAGCTCGCGCACGCATGCGCATGCTCACATACGCATCCCGGCGCAACTTCCAACATAGTCTCGCCTGACACTCTTTCCCCATCATATCAAACAAATATCCGCACGCACACGCACGCACGCACGCACGCACGCCAATGCGCCCCACCGGCTCCCTGAACCCTCGAACCCCCCCCAAAGGTCGACGCCCTGTGGCGTGCGGCCAGCAAGGGCAAGTTCGGCTACTCCGTCCAGAAGGAGCTCTTCGTCCAGGCCGCGCGCCGCTGGCCCAAGTTCTTCAAGCAGATCGACTGGACGGTCGGAGAGAACAACGTCTACCGTAAGTGGCCGGCCGAGTTTGTGTACTCGATGGATGCCGTCAAGGGCCACCTGCCGCTGACCAACGCGCTGCGCGGGACCCAGCTGTTCGAGGCGCTGCTGCAGCACCCCGCGTTCGACAAGCAGGCGGCGGCGGGCGGCGGCCGGGCGGCGAGCATCGACGAGCGCAGCAAGGCCGCGGGCGCCAACACGCTCAAGTTCTGAGCGGCCGGCCGGCCGCGGGGGCCGGGGTGCGCGGGGCCGGTCGCGGGAGGGGTCGGTGCGTTGCATGGGTGGCCGTGCCCCGCCTTGAAGAGTGCGGCGCGCGGGCAGCCCCAGGCTAGTGCCCATGGCAGGTGCTTGAGGCGCCGGGGCCGAGCGCCTATGGGCACGCGAGAGAAAGAGTGAGAGGGCCCCGCCCTGCGGCGCTGCGCTGCGTTGCGACGCGAGAGTTGTCTGTGTGTGTTTGTCGGCCCCTGGCGTTGGCGGCGGCGGGGGGAGTCGCGGCTGCACGGTGGGCGCCTCGCGGCGGCGGGCCCCCTGCTTTGCATGTTGGGTAGCGTCTGCGTTTTTTTGGCCGGGGTTTACTGCTCCCTTGAGGCCGCCGCGCGCATGGTGCGTGGCGCGACCCGCGTCGTACGGGTGCCCCCGCACTGGCCCTGGCCTCTCTGATTGATTGTGCCGGATGGCCCCTGGTTTGACTGTCAATAGCATGTGCTCGTGTAACCCCTTTCAATGGGTGTTGTCGGCGCCAGCCATGGCGGGGCGGGACCTGGCTGGTGCAGGCAGCCCTGGCGGTGACTCATCGCAGAGCTAGAGGGGACACTCGCTGTCTGGCGACTGGGACCCTGACAGTTGGAATCGGGTGACTGTAGGTCGTGTGGGTCGGCTGTGGGTTTACATGTAAATGCATATGGGGTGGTTCTACCTTCTGGATGTTTGGTTGTATGCCTTTGTGATTTGCGCCGCACAGAGCTTGTTTTTGTGCAGTGATTGGGCTACAACAGCAGCCCCAACAAAACGAAGAGCGGAGGGCAGGGTGTGCCGCCGCGTGCGCCGGCCGCAAGTGTACGAGAGACGAACAGGCACCGGCGGGGGTGGCTTGCGTGCCACCAGGAACGAGCGAGGCCTCCAGGAGAGTGTGTAGAAGGGTGGGCGCGCATTCGGGTGTGACGCCCGGGCCCCAGGGTTCCCACGTGTAAAGTACGGCGATGAATCGGGGTCGGCTGGGCCGCCCCCGACGAAGAGGCTGCTTTGATGGGATCGCACCAATGCCTTCCGAGCCCGGCTGCCCGCTGAACGCCCAAGCGGGGCCGCACGCGCGGACAGCCCGCGGGTGCCGCGCGCGGCGCACGCGCTGGCTCGGAGCAAAAGGGGGCGGCCGGGGGCATGGCGCCAGGATCCGCGCGGCCGCGGCGTTGGGCGGCCGCCTGGCCGGCAAGCGAACGGCGTTTGACCGGCGGTTGACCCATGTTTGACCAACGTTTGACCAACGCCTGGCCGGCGCCTGGGCGCCTGCCCCGGAACCGCATTGCCGGCAGGGATGAATTGCAAAACACATATCCGGCAATGCAATCAAGTTCGCCCAGACCAGGCAACAAGACCACGCACGTGCGTGATGGCCTCAGAGGCAGTATCGGGTGCGGGCGGGGGCGCGCGGCGACGCCCGCAACAACGCAAGTTACGAAAGCGCGACAAGACAGAGGCCGCCCACGCATGTGGCACGGCGCGCCCGGCTTGGCCGAGCGAGGGCCAGCGCCTCTGACACGGCCAGCCATGGCGGGGAGTGTGTCAGGGGCCGCCCTGGGCTCGCGGCAGCAGGAGGGTCGGGGGCAGTCCGCGTGCCGGACTGCCACGCCGCCGCGCCGCGCCGAGGAGGGCGGCGCCATGGCAGGAAAGAAACGCATTGCTTTGGATCTGGGGGTGGGGAGAGGGTAGGATGCAGGGGCTGCAACGCCGGTTGCAGCAAAAATGCAGAGGACATGAAAGGGCTGAGGGGCACGCCGGTGATCGCGTGCGGTGGGGCCGGCGCTGGGGCCGGACGCTCCGCAGCTGCCGCTCCCTGCTGCAGCCGCCGCCGCCGCCGCTGCCGCCGCGGCCAGGGCCGCCGCAGTCACGCAGCATGCCGGCTGGAGGCCGCCCCCGCCCCCGCCCCCGCCGCCGCTGCCTCCCTCGCCGCCGCCGCGGGCTCGCCGCCGCCGCCGCCGCCGCCGCCATTGCCACCGCCA